TAAGCTCGGGATTAAAGCCAACTCTACACACCCTCAGATCAGAATAAAATTAATCTAAAAATATATAGACATTCTTATATTGTCATTGTCTTATTTATATTTTTGTACATTGCTTTATATTTAAGAAAATGAGCAGAATGCTTCACAATGAAGAGACCATAGGAAAATTTAGCTGTAATTGAAAATAGTCACTATATCAAAACACAGTTTTTAATTCCTCCAAGATTTTTCGGAAGTATGTTTTGAATTGAAGTATTTTCAAAAAAATAATATTGATTGAAATTTAAAACTGTTTTTACAATACAAAAAGCTGTTTCAATGTGAAATGAAAAGAACTTGAAGAGAAATTACTCAAAGTTATCTATACAATGTCAGAGAGGTTCTAGGATCTTTTTTTCAAACAACTCGCAGGATTTCAAGTACTGAGTGGCAAGATTATGAACTAATGGATTTGCGTACATTTGGAGTTTATAAATAAAAAGTATGTCTATTATGGCCAAATTGGCAACTTACTGAATAAGAGTTTCAAATAATAATAGCTTGATTTATGAAAATAAATAGCACTGAGAATTTTGGATCCTAGGTGTATCATAACATAGTTGATACAGCTCCAGGAACTGATGGTTTTGCACCAGATTTAATTAAATATGGAAGCCAAGAGTTGCTGAAAGCCCTTCGAGGGCTTTCTCAAAAAATAATGGATTCCAGAAGATTGGAACTTTATTGTTCCATAAGAAAAGCATCCCAGGAGTGCTCATCTCTCCCAAGATCAATCTTTTCCCACCCTCGCCATTTTATTGTTCACAATTATACTTCCTGCAGTCTGTTCCTTGTTTTCCCTTGTCTTTTGGTTTGTATCATTCCAAAAATTCATAAACCAGTGAAAATTTACTCCCCTCAAAAATTCAAAACCCCATCAAAATGTGACCCCTCAAAAATTTTGATGACATAAGTTGCACCATGAAGCCCCCTTTTGGGCACCCCTGGAGCATCCCAGCAGAATATATATATATATATATATATATATATATATATATATATAAATCAAAATCTAGGTTAAGGCTGAATATCAAAAAAACCACTCACAAAAATTGCACAATATTTTAATAATATGTAACATTACTATTTGGCTGTATCATAAATGTTTAAGATAAATTTTTTTGTTGGAAGGATTAAGGATCAAACCATTTTTAGTAATTTATCAGGAATCAGTGTTAACATCATAAAAAAACTACAGAAACTCCACTGTATTACTATTTGTAATAAGGCGTTTTTCTCATAAATGTTGACAGTAATGTCCCAAGGAGGTGACCTACTCCGGGCTCCTTGTACTTTATTGCGAAAAAAGTTTTTCTTCAGGAGCCCTAAAAAAAAAAATCAAAAAAAATCTGACCCAGTGCCCAAATGGTATAGGTACACAACTAAATGTTGGAGAGTAAAAATTATAAAAGATTGGCTTTTAATATTAATCACAAAATATACCATTGAGTATATTCTTGTCCCATAAAATTTCTGCATCATATTTTGAAAGTCAGCTGGAGAAAAGTGAGTAAAGGGAATTTCATGAAAAAGTACATATTAACGTTGAGAAACCGCTGCTTGATCTAATACATCTCTCATCTCCAGATTCAACCTTTGAGTTGAAGTACAAGAAACATTTAAAAACTTTTTGTTTATTCTTATCTTTTAATGAAACTTGTTATTTATACTTATGGAAGCAAATATTTGAGTTTTAGCTATTTCTTCAGTTTTTCAGAAGGTAAAAAAAGTTCACTAGCTGAACCGACCTGTAATAATTACTTATACATTACTAAGAAAATATGTACACATAAAACAATACAATTACCAAAACAGAATTAAATTTCAGAAGTTTACTAAGGTTTTGAAAGAATAAGTTTATACTTGCACTCAAAGTAGATTGTGGAAATTCCATAATGTTAGATTTAACATAATGTACTCTCCAGTAAAATGGGATTTTATTTTGAAAATATATTTATGTACAAAAACAGCTTCATGTAATTGTTATAGAATTACAATTTGTAGGTATTTGTTTTTTGGTCTTGTATGAACGGTTGACTAGGTTAGAACAGATTAACCTAAAGATGAACTTTAGCGGAACCTACACTCGGTCTTCAGACAGTTTAAAATCATCATTTACATACATAAAATTATATTAATACATTTTTATTTAAACACTTTATTAGTCCACATTTCAACAAGATAGAACTGTTAAAAATGAAGAAAAATAAACAAATACTACTGTTTGAAGCTTATTTGTTAAGAAATCAACCAAAGCGATTTTTATTTTATAAATATTTAAATGATTTCACATTTATCTTTTTGTAAAGTTTGTACTGAAATAAAATTTAGTTTATTTCAAATACAGAGTACTCAAATTTATTTTATTTGAACCTAGGGATCCTGAACATAAGTGGCAACCGTGACAGGACCTGTTGAGTACTCCATTTTCTAGTCTGTTGACTGAGTTCAATGGAAGGTAAGAAGATTATAAGAAGAATTTTCCGTGCTGACTTCACAAGCTGTGCTAATCAGTAAGAACAATCGCTTAAATGTGATAATTTTAAAGCATTGTACGCTAAATCAGAACTTTTGAAGAAGAAGCTTAAGGTTTTAGAATTGATTAAAAAGGAAATATTTGATCTTTCAATAGAAAATGATGTATCCGAAGAAGAAATAATGTCAGAAGTGGAAGTGGCCGAAGGATACAGGAAAGGGTATGAGATTGTTAAAATTAAGTACCAGAATGTTATTAAAGTTGATAAACTTTCTATTGGAAATAACGATCAACATTGTGTTAAGTCTTTTTTCGACAAAAAGTTTAGTTTGTTTGACACTCCTCTGAAAGCCTATGAAAATAAAAATACAACATCAATCCATGGCCAGGTTTATGGTGTCGGAGCATTTGAGGATGAAGATGAAGAAACATGTGCTAAAGATGAGGACATATGGGCTAAGGAAGATAGCAATAGAGCATTTGACGATGATGATGAAGACATATCTGCTAAAGATGAAGACATGCATGTCAAAGGCACTAACGGATCCAGGATTTAATTTGAGGGAGGGGCTTTAGTCTGAAAGATGTTTTTTGTATGTATACATTAGGATAATTACTTCGGAAGAAAGAAACTAACTACCTATATGAAATGGTGTTTAAGTGATTCTTTAAGTCCTATTAAATATAATTAGACAAACAATTATACTTTTAGATATAATTTTTTTCATAAAACATGGTTATATTTTACCATTTTGGAGGGGTGGGGGAGGCTTCAGCACGAAATTCCTAAATCAAACAAAGACCAATAAGAAATAATGAGTAGTGTTAAATATTATTGGATCTGTCAATTAACACCACAAAATTGTTGATTTAATTGTCTTTCTAAACATTAAAACATAATTGGATAAAATATAAATAAATAGAATTAGCTATCTCAAAGTTTATGAAAATTTAAGACCATATTACTGGATTCTGGTGAATTACTGGTTTCCCGACATATTATCCATTTTCCTGAAATTTCTAACTGGTAGACATACAACATGGATACACTGAGAAGATTGTCTTACGGACTTTAGGGAAAGGCTACAGCAAGGCCTTCTTGAATAGGATCTCTATTGGAAGGAAGAGAGAGAACTACAATAATATTGCACGGCTACTCAACTATGTTGAGTTGCTAAACCACACAGTATACTCATCAATTAACCGATAATATTAAAAAGATTAAAAGGGAGCAAGGTCGATCCATTGGAATACATAACAAATATGCCAAAAACGGTTCACAGAATCAAACAAATTAAGGCCAAGATCAATATATTTGATGATGGAGGATTCCTAAAGAGTCTAAAATACTAGTTTCTGTCATGGTCTGCATCTGTTCCCTACAGCAAAGTGTTTGTTGTGTCCAAGCATTAATATGATGTTTTGGGATGGTGACCGTCTTGAAGTAATGGACCACTTTATCATCATTAGCAGGTCTGGTAAAGTAGATGAAGAAATCGGAAATAGAAATAACAGAGAAAATCTAGTATATTACCAGACAAAATAATTGACCACAATAATGTAAGAAAGACAAAGAAACTTCACAGAAAGTTTACTTCTCAGTGTTTACATATGGAGGTGAAAGCTGAGCCATGCTTTTTAACATTGTTTTCCATTCAATTACCAATAATATTTAGAGGCATTTGAAGAGATGGTGACCTCAGAACCAACTTATGTAGAACTTGTTAGATTCTTTACAATTTATGTTACTGAGCTGAGCACATGCACTTATTATAGTGGTAATATAATAGTAAATCCTTATAAATATTTTTTAAAAATATATTTTATTTATTTTTGAATAGTGAGCAGAAGAAATATTTGAATGAATTTACATTACAACAAAATGAAGGCTTAGTGACCCCAAAGCTTCAATACCAACATCACCAACAATTGTTGTCAATATATCTCCCTCCATTAAGACCAGTCAAAAGCCACTCAGGCTTAATATCCTCCCACCTGTCCCAGTTTACCCTTTCGACATTTACCCATTGGTTCAGTTCTCATTGCCTTCTTGGGAATTTATTCATTATAACTTTAAATACCAATTTCAAGTGATGGGATGTTATTACTTTAATTATTTATCACCATTCTGCGATGAGTGGTTTTCAACATGTTGCTCTTGTTCTTCAAGCTAAATATTTCTTTAGTTATATTAATAAAAATTAATATTAGATATTTTAATTAGGTATATGAAAACTAATCCATGTACAATAAATTAAGTATTCAGAAATAACTATCAACAATGAACAGGTAAATTTTTTCCACTACAAAAATATCACACTAAAATCGGTTTAAAAGAAAAAATTAGAATATTTAACTCAGCAAGCATATTTAAGAAAAGAAGTGTAAAGGGTATTATAAAAATTAATCACAAAAGGAAAATTAAAAAACACTAAAACTTAAATGATTTTTTTTTCTATTTAACTATGAAATTGCACCTATTTTTAAAAACAATAGATAGCAAAATAATGACAATTTTTAAAAAATTGGATACACAAACACAATTATTAGCTCAAAATTATAATTTTTAGATAACAAATTTACCAAATTTAAACATATAATATCAGTCATAATTCAGCATCATCCAGTAAGAGGTCTCAGATTAACACGAACTTTTTCATTTATACTTAACATACCCACTGAAGGATAAAAACCACTTTCTGGCATTTCAACCCTTCTAACACCAAGGTTGGAACCATTTCTTGTGAAAAACACCTGAAATAAAATAGCTACTTAAGAAATTTTAAAATACATCATTTATCAGTAACTTATTTATTGAGAAATCTATTTAACACATTATTAACCAGGTTGTTACATGCCCAGAGTACATAAATTTATTGCCCACAACTGTGTTAATATATCTTTTGGCAAAGCTAAGGCTTATTCCACAAATAGGCTCTGCTGCAATCGGCATCTGTGCAGAGCCTTTCCTAGCAAGGTAATCAGCTTTCTCATTTCCTGCAATTCCTAAATGCCCAGGTACCCATTCTACTCTCCCCTTGTTAGTACTACAAAGAAGATTAAGATTGCCTTTGCATTCATCCACCAACTTTGAGCGACTTGCATAACTATTCAGGGCTCCAATTGCCGCTTGACCCAATTGTTATCAATCTATTCACAATGCCCTCCTCAATAAGTGATTGAACACAGAAATCAAACGCTAAAATCCCTTGAAAGACGTATACCTACCTAGAGATATGAATATTCCCTCGTTAGGCTTATCCTTTCTCCAGATACCAGCCCCTGATCTCTACTACTATTCCCCACCACACCTACTCACCAGTGCCTCACAACCGTGTGGCTATGTTCCTTAGTGTCATCCTTTCTTTCCACTTGTTTACATTGCACAATCTCTAAAATTATTTTATTTAGGTTCAATATAAAATATGCAATGGATGTAGAAGAATTCTTAATCGAATGTCTAAGGGAAAATATTCGATTTTTCTTTTCAACTCCAACATGATCGACTTTGCTATTTTTTTTTAAATGTGATATATATATTAAATGTTATACAGAATATGAGAAGGATAACGATGCAAGACAAGTTGCTGACTGAGCTTAGCTCAGAGATGGGCATATTTATATTCATAAAAATAAATATGAATACAGAAGATACGTATTCACGGCTATAAATATAAATACTGCCATATTCATGATTGTAAAAGAGAATACGGCAGTATTCATGTTTACTAAAATGAATATGCTTAAATTTACAGAAGTGAATGGAAATATTTTTATACAACCTTATTAATGAATACTCTTATTCATTTAAAAAAAATATATTTATTAAAAAAAATATATTTACTATATATATCATTTTATTTTATATACCTAGTTCTGGCATAAATACTGTTACAGAAGTTGAACTTTGTTTACATCCTTGGGTATTATTTAGATTATCCTTACCTCTATCGGGTTATTTTCTTTACATGTCAGGATAATAATCCCAATTAGGATAATAATTGATCATTCAACAATGTCATTCTAGGTGTATCCAACAAATTAGAAAATGAAAATAGTCGTTCAACTGTGAGCACCGGAGTGTTATCTCTCTACTATAGCATTTCCAAGTCAATTTCAACCTTTTCCAAATCAAATTCAACCTTTTCCAAGTCAAATTAAACCTTTTCCATTTCAAATTCAACCTTTTCCAAGTTAAATTCAACCTTTTCCATTTCAAATTCAACTTTCGAATTTTTGCCAATTTTCGATTTTTTTCTAAATGAAGGTCAAATACTATATTATCGAAGGTATAGCTTTTGAAAAATACAAAAAAAATTTTGATAACGCGGTTGCATATCCATTTATTTTAACATTTTAGATTTTTTCAGTGTAATATTTCTATGCCATATTCAATTATTTCCAAGTCAAATTCAACCTTTTCCAAGTCAAATTCAACCTTTTCCAGATCAAATTAAACTTTTTCCAAGACAATTTCAACCATTTCCATTTCAAATTAAACCTTTTCCATTTCAAATTAAACCTTTTCCAATTCAAATTCAACCGTTTTCATTTCAAATTAATGTTATAATTTTTTGTAAATTTTATATTTTTTTAAAATAATGGCCATCCCCTCTCCCCCTCCAATATGAAGGTCTATTATTATGCTCTCCTAAGTAGAATTAACACTTACGGATATCGATTTATTGTACCTATTCGGATTTATTAGGGACTAGTATTATGCTGTCCTGTACCTAGTTTTTAAAATAACCTCCATTTTATGATCAGGCCCCAACGTTTTGACTTATTTAAGTTTTTTGAATTTATTCAATATAAAGGTCTACTTTTATGTTTCCGGAGCCGTAGATTTTGAAAACGTCCTCCATTTTATGATTAGGCCACCGCGTTTCGACTTATTTAAGTTTTTCGGATTTTTTTCATATAAGGGTGTATTCTTATGTTTCCGGAGCCGTAGATTTTGAAAACGACCTCCATTTTAAGATAAAGCCACCGTGTTTCGATTTCTTTGAGTTTTTCAAATTTATCCAATTTAAAGGTCTACTTTTATGATGCCGGAGCCTTAGTTTTTAAAACAACTTACATTTTAAGATTAGGCCACTGTGTTTCGGTTTTTTTGAGTGTTTTTGGTTTTTCCTTAGAATAAAAAACAAATAAGAAGGATTAATTTATTTTTCAATAAATAAATAAAAATATCTAATCGAAATAAATAAAATATGTATTGTCTCATTTTTAATTTAATTATAATAATAATAATAAGGCTTAGCGAACCCGAAGGTTCGATGCCGACACCACCAATCGCTTGTTACACACCTCCCTCCACCGTTCACCGTCCAAACCCAGTCCCTTCAGATCGGCTTTAATGCAATCTTCCCACCTTCGCTTCGGTCTACCCCTCGGACGCTTACCATTCGGCACAGCAAATATTAATCTTTTAGGAATTCTCTCGTTACTAAGCCCAACAACTTTACAAGCCCATTTGATTCGCCGCGATGAAATTACCTCAATTATATTACCCGGATACAGCTCACGCAATTCGGCGTTGTGTAACCGTCTGAACTCTCCGGTTAACTCATCCTTCTTCGGTCCGAATATTCTACGCAATACTTTATTTTCAAAAACCTTAAGACGCTGCTCATCCCTTAATGTAAGCGGCCAAGTTTCGCATCCATAAAGAACTGTAGGCAAGATAATTGTTTTATAGATTCTAATTTTTAAGTTCCGGGACAAGAGGCGCGAACTAAGTAGTTTTGTCACAGAAAAATAACAAGCATTTCCCGCCTTCAGTCTAACCTTAATCTCTTCTTCAATTTCGTTTTTTCTAGTTATCGTTGAACCTAGATACCTAAATTTATGTACCTGTTCAAACATATTACCATCTATATCGATATCACCAGTAGTATCGCCATTTTTGCAGCTAACCATATATTTTGTTTTATCCACGTTTATTTCGAGTCCTAGTTTTTTCCCGGCTTTCATTAACGTTTTCGTATTTAGTTTTATAGTTTCAACGTCTTCGCTTAACAGTACCAGATCATCAGCATAGCCCAGCACGGATGTTGTCCCGCCCAGATCCAACCCTTTCTCGGTTCGCATTACCTCCCTAATGGCATGTTCTAATGCCAAATTGAACAGGACAGACGAAAGGGAATCCCCCTGTTTTAAGCCCGAACGAACCTCAAATTTTTCGGACAAATTATTACCGATTCTAACTTTATTGAGTGTCTCCGTCAAGCACATCCTGACTAGATTTACTAGTTTTTTTGGAATCCCCTGCTCGATTAGAATATTATACAGTTTCTGGCGGTCAATAGAATCGTAAGCCTTTTTAAAATCTATATACAGCTGGTGAACAATACCGTTATACTCCAATTTTTTCTCTAATATTTGCCGTAAAGAAAATATATGATCAATAGTCGAACGATTCCGTCTAAATCCGCATTGGTAGTCACCGATAATTTCCTCGGCGTATTCCGTGATTCGACTGGTTAAGATTAAAGTGAATATTTTATAACATACCGGAAGGAGTGAAATTCCTCGATAGTTATTGCAATCCGTCCTCGGACCCTTTTTGTGAATCGGAATAAGAATAGATTCTTTCCATTCTTCAGGTAATTTCTCGTTCACCCAGATCTTTTCAACCAACCGATGTATTTTAGAAACTCCAGCTTCCCCGCATGCCTTAATTAGTTCAGTAGGAATATTGTCGGTTCCCGCTGCTTTATAAGACTTTAATTTTCCGATAGCTACTTCAACTTCCTCTTTACTTGGTCCTTCTATTAACGGTTCAGCACTCTGGTACTCAGAAGGAGGACACAGATCATAATTTCCCGTATTTAAAATATTTTCAAAGTGGTCCTTAAACTTATTCAATATGTCAACCGGATCGGTCAAAATATTGTTATTATCATCCCTAATTCCAGACGTTACGGGCCCTACACATTTACATGATCTGTTTATACCTTTGTACATGTCTCTTACGTTATTTTTGATTCTATTAGTTTCTATTTCAATTATTTTATTTTTAAGATACTCCCTTTTTTTATTTTTGAGCAATTTTGTCGTTTCGTTCTTTGAGATTCGGAAGTATTCCAGATTGTCTTCGCTAGGATTATTTAGAGCTTTTAATTTAGCGGCTTTTCTTTTTTCGCACATGTTTAAGCACTCTTCATCAAACCACGGTTTGTTATTCTTATTTTCCTTTTTTCCTAGACACGAGTTACCGACCGCTTTAATATTATCCCTGATCTCAACCCATAACTTGTTAATATCCTCGTCAGGAAGCTCTAGAGCTTCAAACCTATTCTTAATATCTAGCTCAAATTGGGTTCTAATTAATGGATTTTTTAATTTTTCCAAATTAAAATTCTCAAAATCGAAACGGTTTTTTTTTCTCTTTTTTATATTAAGTTTTTGTCGAAGTTTCGCGATTACTAATTCATGATCCGATCCACATTCTGCTCCGCGATAAGACCGTACATTAATTATACTGCTTTGCCAGCTGTGTTGTATCAAGACATGATCGATTTGATTTCGTGTTTGCGAATCCAGTGATGTCCAAGTATATTTATGAATATCCTTATGTTTAAACGTCGTACTTTTAATTATCAGGTTTTTCGAGATGGCAAAGTTTATCAGACGGATCCCATTATCATTACTATATTCGTGCAAACTTTCTTTACCAATCGTCGGAATATAAACTTCTTCCCTTCCTACCTTTGCGTTCGCGTCACCTACAATTATTTTCATGTAGTTTCGGGGTAGTTTATCATAAACCCATTCGAGTTTATCGTAAAATTCACTTTTGACTTCATCGTCACTGTCTTCGGTCGGACAATGTATGTTTATTAATGCAATTTTAAACCAACGTCCCTGAAATATAGCTACCGAAATTCTATCACTAAAGAATTGTACGTCCCTCAAAGCGGATAGTAATCTACTCCTAATTAGAAACCCGGTACCTAAACAATGATTCCCACTTCCTCCGTACCAAATAGTGTACTTTCCTTCCCTTATCGAGCCCTCCCCTGGCCAGCGAACCTCTTGCAGAGCCACGACATCCAAATTGTACCCATTTACCTCATTCGCGACCGATTTTAGCCCCCCTGCTGTGTTTAAACTCCTTACGTTCCACGTACCAATATTTAAATCCCTATATTTCAACTTGTGCCATGAATCCCCTAAAGCAGTCCTCACCCGGAGACCCGAACGGGGGACTAGTTTACCTCCGGATAATGAGCGTTTTACCTTAGGGAGATCCATGACTTTTTGTGGTGTTTGGTGAACTAAAGATATGTGAGTAGGGCGTTCAATCCTACGTCACACCCTCCAGCAAGTCTGGTGGGCCCCTACCTACAGCAAGTCTGGAGGTCCCCTCTCATTGTTGGTCAGCGAGTCCATCGGACTTAGCCGGGAGGAACTTCCAAGGAATTTCCACCGACCATCCCCACATCCGCCACCCGTGGGACGCTCCCCATACGCTGTAATGAGCCCGCTTGAGGTAATTTAATTATAGTTATCTTTTTTATGTTGTGGTCTCCTGTAACAAAATTATAAGATTTCGAACAATTAGCTGAAAAATCTGAATACGGTAGGTTAAATTTATAACCAGTTGCTTTTTGGCTTTTTAGTTTGTATTCTGTGGTTAATTTAACTTTAGCTTCATGATATTTATTTATTCATACTCGAAAACATATTGATGAAACTTTGTATTGAAAAAATCCAAAATGAAGCCTAATTATGGTTACAAATTAGCAATAAGAATAATTATAACTATATGGTAGTATAAGTTGGCAATAATGCGCGATTATCTTTCGCTCAGTTAACATGGAGTGAAGTGATGAAGAAATCGGAATAGCTGTGATTGCTTTACACAAAGTTGGAAAATGCAGGTCAGAGGTTTTCAACAATTTGAAACCTTTGAGTATCAGCCGTATGTTTGTGTACCGTACTATAAATAGATATAATGAGATCCTATCTGTAAGTGCCAGACATCGACCCCACCGTCACAGGGCCATCCCCGCACTGTGAGAACAGCAAATGCAGTGAAAGGAGTGGCTGCTCGAATCACAAGAAATCCCATTCGAAAACAACAAATCATGTCTTAGGAAATGGGAATCTCTGTCAGATCAATGTCTCTCATAATAAAAAGTGACCTTAGGATGGGTGCATTTCGACGAATGACAGAACAAAGGCTAATTAACCACTTCCCTAAAAAAAATTGGAGTGGATAGATGCAAAGTACTCCTTGGCCGTTACACCAATGGTCTTCATCGAAAGATTTTGTTTAGCGATGAGAAAATTTTATAATTGAAGAAAAATTTAAACAACAAAATGATCGTGTGTACGCACAAGCCTCTAAATGATACTCTGTTTGCTGGAAGTCACAGGGTTTTCTAGCAGGATTCCACTCCAGCTCACAAGGCCAAGTCAACTCAGCAGTGGCTGCAAAAGAAAGTTCATCTCTGCCTTGGATTGGCCCTCAGGGAGCCCTGATCTGAACCCACTAGATCATTGGCTTTGGTTTGAACACTAACTTGGAAAGCCTCAAACAATCCAACAATCAAACAAGCCAAAAAAAAAAAAGCTTGGGAATTTATATTACGTACAAACATTACGAGTGATAATTAACATAACATATTGTAAAACGAAGAATATAATACTATATATAAAAATAAAATGGTATATATAGCAAATATTTTTTTTTTAAATATATAGTTTTTTAAATAAATAAAAGTATTCATTAATAAGGTTGTGTGAAAATATTTGCATCCACTTCTGTAAATTTAAGCGTATTCATTTTATTAAACGTGAATACTACCATATTGACTTTTACAAGTGTAAATACAAAGGTTCGGGAATTTATACTACATACAAACATTATGAGTGATAATTAACATAACATATTGTAAAACAAAGAATATAATATTATTTATAAAAATAAAATTATATATATATATATATATATATATATATATATATATATATATGTATATAGAACATTCTCCCTGCAACACTTAAGGAGACAGCCCTGATGAAGGCCTGAACTTCAGGTCGAAACGTCGGCATATGTAAAAAATAAATATTATCATTTATTTTTGCCTTCCTTTTTGACTGACCACCCCAACTATTCTTCTCTTTATTATCAACGACAGTCAACCAATTACCAATTATATATATTTTTGAATATAAATATGCCCATCTCTGGCTGAGCTTCACTACACAATCGGTTCCCGACCCCCTCTTGCTATGCTCAGCTCAGCAGTACTTTTGGTGGCTGGTCAGCCTTAGTCCTGTAGCCAATTCCCAACCTGAAGCTATGATGAAAGACACAGGATTTGCTCACCTCCCTGTAAATTTCTGAATGTAGACATTACTGCGCTTATGCGGAAATTAAAACCGAGCCATAGTAAGTGGTCTGGGATATGTGGGGAGTCAATGCACTCTTTTTTTCTTTTTTTGTTATAGAATCCTGAAAATGGAATTCAAATTCATAACTTTTGTTTAAGATTATCAATAAAAATATTAATATTGAAGTCTGATAGCCATAATCTCAATTAAGTCATATTAACTTCCCAAAAAATTGAACAAGAGTAAAAAAGTAGGAAAATCAATCAAAAACGTAAATTACAAGAACAAATATAAATGTTCTACCTCTACTCGTTTTCTAGATTTGGTTTTTAATGAACTTATAACATCATCAGATGTCATATCGTAATCACTTGATGATTCATCACTCCATTCACAGTTATCTCTATCTTGAAACATCAGGTCACTAAAACTGAATTAAAAATGCTTATAAATGATCAATTCATAAACAGAATATCCAAGAACATTCTTTATTAACTACACAATAAAAGTGGAATCCAAAAATGTACGAAAAAATAAAAGTTATATTACCAAAAGTCTGACCCCTCTTGAGCTTCTTTTTTATATCCGGAGAGGACAGTGAATTTAACATAAGTCAGAAAATGGTAAAAAAAGAATTTTCATGTAAAATATAGCACACTTTAAAAAAAAACAAAAAAAAAAAACTATCACACTGTAGAATAACAATGTATAGGCAAACAACTTATGGGAGAATCTAATGGGTGGAAAATATACAGTATTTTTTTTTTTTTTTTTTTAGTATTTTTTTTTTTTACTTTTTTTACTTTCACATACCTATATATGTAATATATAGTAAGGGAAAGTATTGCGATCGTGAAAATTTTCGAATCTGAGATTTCAATGGAAATACATGTTTCGTGGTCCCCTGAGTCCAAATAACCAAGTGTACGCATGAACAACCTAGCTCAAAAATGAAAAATAGCATGCAACTGAAACTGAGTATTTAAGGTTTGTACATGCCTGGGATGTTACAGCAACTTTTTCGTCAAAATTGGCTATCCGGAAGCAAAGCTTAATACATTTTTACAATTTTATCAAAATTGGCTTTAACGATTTTGATTAAATTCAATAAATTATATAAGTGTGAAATTAAGCTATTTTTAATATATTATGTAGGTTTTATTTTCATTGATATTCTCTAACCGGGTTTAAATGCATAATTTTTTTAAGTTCTTCCTCTGAAGTACCTTTAATTTTTTTTATTTGAAAAAAATTAACCATTTCACATTGGTGACAGATATAAAAAATAATTAAATATAATGAATGAAGAAAATTTATTAGTAACTAAAGGATAAATAAGGGTTGGAAGCTATATGGAAACAGCCGAGATCACCCGACCTATGCCGATCCTCCCCCTTTAGAGATATTCGAAACCCCTCTGTTTCGAGGCTTTCATATTGTTAGTTCAACTTTCATATATCACTTATCCATAATTATTTAAAAAGATTTTCATGGAAAATGTTGAGAATCTACTTATAAGATCCTAATAATAAATAATATTTAACATTAATTTTTTGTAATTTTTTATATATCTATTTTAGGCCAAAGATCACCAAATATACACAGTTTTTTTATCTCCTGTATTCTTTACTCAACGTTTCGGCTTCAGGAGCTATTTTCAAGATCCTGCAAAACTAATTTTAATTTAGTTTTTACCATCAAATACATCCTTATCAGACACATATTATTTAACAACCATAAGTAATACAATTAGTCCAAAATTTATTTTTAATTTTGAATAAATTTATATCATCCACCTACCATGCACCGCGCCTTAAAATTTATAAAATCTATCTACGGTCTTGTTTTAATTACAGACGAAATACATATTAAAGAAGTAAAAACACAAATATATGAAATTCTACTCCAAAATTGGTACCCCATAAGACTGATAAATAAATTATGGCACAAAGATAAAAAAAACATAAGATAATTATAAAGAAATAAAGGGTCCAAACATCAATACCAATATAAAAACTAATCAAAACAAGACCAAAAATAAAAAAGCAAATCTAATCACAAACTATTTTAAAGTAGATAATACTAAAAAACACAAGCATAACAAAGAAAATCCTGATCTACAATTTCAGAATGAGAAAAATAAGAATATTAACGCAGACCCCAAACCCAAAAAATACTTTTCGGTCACATATATTACAGGTTTAACTAATAAAATTGAAAGAACTTGTAAAAAATATGATATAAATGAAATCAGATTTGGGAAAAAAACCTATTAATAAATAAGATAAATTAGATAGTAGAACTAAGGATATTATTCTAAAAGAATAATAATATTGAAAAATTAACTAATATTGTTTATAAAACACAATGCGAGGATTTTGAAAATAAAGTATATTACGGACAAACCTCACATTGGTTTGAACGTAGGATACAGCAACATAAACAAAATTGCAGGTCTAAAACGACAAAATCAAAATTAGCCACAGGATTATCGCAGCACACCACAAAAAATGGACATAAATTTGATTTCGGTACTGCTTCTGTGTTGCATAGAGAACAGAATATTGGGAAACGTAGAATAATTGAATCCATTTTTATTACTAAAAATCTCAAACATTCGGTGAATCAACAGACAGATGTTGATAATTTAAACACGTTTTATGCTAGCTCAATAGACAAAATTAATATATAATATACTGATATAAAACAGCTGATCCCTAACCCTTCCACCCCACTCCTTTTGTAAGTAAATCCAGTCCTGTATGAATGCCCTAGTGAGGAGCAACAATTTCTTGATATCGTCTGCAAATAGAGGTATATAAATCGAGAATTAATAATATTCTTTTTAAAAATAATATTAACAATCTATTTTAATTTATTATTTATATATTACAATTTTTAGAAATGGAAAACGACATTCTTTGAAATAAAAGAATGACTAAGGATGAATCATATCGCAATGATAGATTTTAAAAATTTTATGGCGCGGTGCATGGTAGGTGGATGATATAAATTTATTCAAAATTAAAAATAAATTTTGGACTAATTGTATTACTTATGGTTGTTAAATAATATGTGTCTGATAAGGATGTATTTGAATGGTAAAAACTAAATTAAAATTAGTTCTGCAGGACCTTGAAAATGGCTCCTGAAGCTGAAACGTTGAATAAAGAATACAGGAAATAAAAAAACTGTGCATGTTTGGTAACCTTTGGCCTAATATAGATATATAAAAAAATATGAGAAAATGGCTCCAAAACTGAAGGATGTGACTAGAAAGTTAATTTTTTGTTGAGTTTTGTGATAAATGTTTCCGATAAAACTCAGAATTTTCCAAAAGATCTATTTTTCTCCACAATCTTAAGTATTTTTACTTTCCTACCTATACTAGGTAAGATAACTATTGCGATCGAGTCAAATTTCCAATATGCGGTTTTCGACGGATCTATACATTTCAGAATCCCCTGAGTCTAAATGTGAAAAACACATTTTTAGCCATTGGTCTGTCTGTGCCAAGATTTTCTAGGGAAATAGTGAACTGATTTTGTTTCTTCTTTTTTTATTTTGCAGGGTTAGGCTACTGAGGCCTGTGACACAAATTGGGTGCTCAATGCACAATAAATGAAAAACATGTTTTTCTATAGACTGTAGTGCGAAAACGGCTCTAACGATTTTGATTAAACTTTCCTATAATGTTCTAATAATTGTACTCTCAATTTTCATAAATGGACTAAATTCAGGAAAAAAAAGTTATAAAGAAAAGAAAAATGTTTTGAGGCCTAAGAAAGGGATGAATGAGAGAAAAAAGATAACTAAGTGAAAGTAAGAAAATCTGTTGCCCACATCACTCAAGTTGCAGAACAAATCAGACAGTTACCTAAAAAGAAAGTTCCCGGTCATGACCTAATAAATGCTCAAGTGCTCTAGAAAATGCCAAGGAAAGCTCTAGTATACCTAACACCAATTTATAATGCAATACTCAGAACGACTAAATTCCCCTTACCATGGAAATATTCATTCATAACAATGGTTCACAAACCTAACAAGAACACCGACTTCCCTTCATCGTACAGACCTATCAGCTTGCTCCTATTATGCTCTAAAATCTTTCAGAAACTTCTCTACAAATGACTTCTTGACATACTAACTACCAAAAACATAATACCTGAACATCAATTTGGATTCCGTTCACACCACTCAACCATTCATCAGCTACACCGAGTGACAGACTACATTGCGACAGCACTATAGCACAAATTATATGCAACAGGAGTATTTCTGGATGTTGCTCAAGCGTTCGATAGAGTCTGGCATGAGAAACTTCTTTTCAAACTTAAGACTATACTCCCTCCAATCTACTATCTTATTCGTCAATCTTTTCTTTCTGACAGAGTTTTCTCTGTTTGCCAAGATACAGAACTATCTACTATTAAAACAGCCTTAGCAGGAGTGCCTCAGGAGTCAGTGATCGCTCCTCTGTTGTATATCATTTACACATATGATATTCCAGATCCTGTCGAAACTCTGACCGCGACTTACGTAGACGATACAACTATCTTAACAAGACATCAAAATTGAACATATGCCTCACAGACTCTACAATATCACCAAAACAAATTCTATGACTGGTGCAAACTCTGGAAAATTCGATACAACCAAGACAAATCACTGGGGCAATGGATTAAAAAAAAACAACAAAAAAAGGCTTGGGAATTTATATTATATTCAAACATTACGAGTGATTATTAACTTAACATAACATATTGTAAATAAAGAATATAATACTGCCGTATTCACTTTTACTACTGCAAATACAGCCGTATTCATTTTCACAATCGTGAATACGGCCGTAGTTATATTTACAGCCATGAATACGTATCATCTGTACTCATATTTCTTTTTATGAATATAAATATATTCATATTTATATTCATTAGTACCATAAATATAAATGGTATTCGTATTTATATTTTTGAAAATGCTCATTTCTGGTATGTGAAAGCGGTGTGATGTGCGCACTGCACCAGCTGTTTTACATTTATTTAATCTCATTAACTAATTTGTAAGTTGATTGCTATTTCAAAACAAAAGATTATTTCAATTATTAACAATACGAGTATATTTTTAATGTTACATGTTAACAGTCTAGTTTACGTTTCGGGACCTTTTATTCCCATCTTCAGAACTGCAATTCCAATACTCTTGTGGATGCAAGGCTAAAAATTTTTTTTAAGTTACAATATTGTGCTTGTTACATTACATATTTGTATTATGTTTGTTACAATAAATTTGTAATTACCTTAATTCTAATAATAATAATAATGTGCTCCATCGTCAATTTTCTAATATATGTTCTAAAATTTATTATCTAGAGCAACATTCTCCTTTTGACCAATAATTGGGTTTCTGCCATAGTGAAAATTTGACCTT